TGCTGTGTGTTGTCATCATTGTATGTTCCCATCCAACAATGAAATTAGTTCTCTGCATTTAACCCATCACACCTGAGATACACGCAGGTGGAGCAGTGGGCAGCTATGTAAGTGTCCATGGGGGGATTGGGTGTCTTGATCAAGGACAACACAACATGTGGGGATGGTGGGGAGTTGAACCTGCGATTTTCTGGTCCCAAGGCAGCTGCTCTACCTCTACACCACATGTCAAATTCAAGAGCCACGGGTCAAATCTGGTCCCCCATGATGATAATTTAAATGTAAATTATTGTCTCTTAAATTTTTCTTTAAAAACAAAACGGATAAATACATATATTAGTGTAAACGTTTCTTGCTTTCGGACCGTGAAGCCAGAAAGAAGGCTTGGTCATTCTGTCGTTATTGAATCTGATGTGGAAAGAGCAACAGAACGTCAAGTTCATTCAACCTTTATTTAGACGGTAAATCCCATTGAGCCTCCAGGACTCATTTACAAGAGAGACTTGAAGTGAGACAGATCAAACTCTTGTTGATGAACCTGCATTTTGATCTGTTGCAATAAACAATAAATCGGTTAATATCATGATAAATGAAAATTATCGACCTCATTTTCATTTATCGGCTTTATTGTTTCTTCGTGTCTCTCTCTTTCTACTGAAGACACTGGATGACAAAAGGCTCAACTCCATGCTCTTCACTGACCCCTCTCTTTCTCTTTAAAATCTGTTTTAACCATCCAAAATTGTGATTTTGGATGGTTAAAAGCAGCTAAGCTGAGAAGCTAAGCTACAAACTAAGCTAACAGGCCGACCTCGGAAATAAACCTCCGTCTTGTCAAAGCTCCAAAATTCATGGTTGAAACCCGTGCCTTTGTGTAAAAAATTGTTTTTCTCAGCAAAAAGAAACTGAGAATTTGTTTACTGTTTTTTTTTTTTTTTTTAAATTAAAAGCTTTGTGTGAAAAATGCTATGCTGAAGAGCTCAAACACAAAAATGAGAGACAGCCCATGTCACGTCAAGGGGCCTCCCTCCCATTTTTCTTAAAGAGACCTGCTGCTCGCTCCCTCACTATCCATCCTTCGGTTCAAAAATCTTTTACTGCCATCCAGTGGTCAAAAAAGGTACTACACTCAAAACAAATTCAAAAACATTTATTTTTAAATTTAACAATAATTACTAATTATTGTCAATTTTCAAACAATATTATCGTTTATCGCAATAATTTCTGAGACAATTAATCGCCCAGCAACATTTGTTATCGTGACAGGCCTACCTGCAACCAAGAAAAGATATCAAGTCTCTGTCTTGAGTTAATGTATCAGCTGAACGTGGTCCGTGGCTCAAACAAAGTTTTAAAATTTTGGCTCCTTTTGGTAAATGAGTTCAAAACGTCTGCACCATCTCGGCCCGTGATGGAGTGTCGCATACAGTTTTCACCTCAGCTCCAAAGGCAAGGTCAAAAATCGAGACAAAGTTAAATACAAGGTTTTACCGTTTGTCGACGAGTGTATAATGTACATATGCAGTACTCTTTTTATATTTAGGTGAATGTATTTAATTTTCTGTGCCTATAAAGCTAAATTCAGGTCTCCAACAGTCACCTTGTTCTGGACTGACCTGGCCAAAATGGCAAGTAAACAACAAAACCTCTTTAAAAAAGTAAAACGTAGGACTTGAAACACCCATAAGTGTTTCTTCTTCTTGTCAGGATCTATTTGCGTGTTTCACTGAAGCGTTTGGGGTCAGAAAAAAGTGGACCTCTTCGACTGGAGCGCTCTCATGGTGGCCCAAGTTGAACGATCTCCGCCTGTCTCTTCATTAACAGAAGGAAAATCTGTGCGGCGTCACGCTCTGGCTGCAGAGACACACTCCAGGAGAGGCACTAGAAGGCCCCACGAGGGTTTAGGAACATGTGCAGAGGCACCGAAATACAAAACACAACCTCACAAATCCTTATTTACACGCAGTGGATAAGATGTTGTACTTACAAAGACACACGTTTACCTCTTACCCTGCTTTTGAGCGGTTCAGGAAAAGAGTTTGAGAGGACTGAAGTTGGCCCCGGTTAATTAGGCAGCGCCAGGCGTTCTCCTCCTCGTGTAGAGATAATGACGATTGCAGCGGCCCTCGGCCACACAGGGCAGGTTTCAAACACCTGTGGAGAGGAGCTGGAGTGGTTGGTAGGTGGTTAGCTCCACAGGTTAGAGTCCTCAGAGGCTCCAGTGGTAAACCAAACGTTGAACAAGTTGTCAGCATCCATACTAGAGGGAAGTGGAGAGAGGACAGCTTGGACGATGGTTGTAAAATCATCCTTTTATATTTGACTTGTTGGGCCTTTCATGCTTTAAAGGATCATTTACAAAAGTGTTTGTTTGATCTTAACTTAAAGGGTTTATACACAAGTGTATTTAAATTTTTAGAAGAGCATTCAGCTTAAAATAATGTGAAGCTGTTCATGCAGTCCTACAAGCTAACCCTTTAAAAATGACCTTCACTGGAAAACAGTTTTTAAAGTTGTTTTGTGTGAAACGGAACCGTTCTTAATGTCCTGCCTGGTTAAATTAAAGGTTAAACTAATTAACTATATAAAAAAAAGGTATATGGGCAGAAATTTGTGCCATCAGAAACTGAATTGCTCAGACTTCATCTGTATTCCCGTAATTTGAAATTAAATCCATTGGTCTGAAAATGAATTTCACTAAATTGAAACTGAATCAATTTGCTTTGAAATTATTTCGTTGTATTAAAACTTGAGTTTAATAACAGTAGTCCCTCGTTTATGGCGGTGGATCCCTACCCTCCGTGGTAATTGAAAGACCACGAAGTAGGGATACAGTAGTTCAAGTTCACGTACAGTAAACTTTATTTTAAGGCTTTAGAAAACCTTCCCACACTCTTGCAATGTTCTAAACTCTTAAACCTACATCATTTTAACAACATATTTACTTACTAGCTCTGCAGAACAGCAACAGCTCTGGTTCCAGTCCAGCTCTGTTCTATTCGGACTCTGTTTGTTTCTAAAGACCTTTCCTGCAGCAATGAAGCCCACAAATCAGTCCTCTAAACTCTTAAACCTACTATTTTTAACAGCAAGCAACATCAAATATGTAGCTACTAAATATTAATTACCAGGCTCTGCAGAACAGGAGCGACATGGTTCTGTCCGACCCGATAGATGAAAAAAGTCCCTGTGCAGCATGACTTTGAGTTGCAAAACTTTCCCTCCATTTGCAGCAAGTAGCAGTTGGAAGCAGTGTTGACTGCTGGGAAGTGAACTGATGGCTTCTGGGTAACACAGTTCTTTAGAGTGGCAAAACAGTGAAGGCTTAATGAAAGAAAACTACAAAATGGCGGCACTTTTTAATTTTTTTTAGAAAATATTATGTACATGTACAGTACTGTACTTTATGACGTATTTTGAGCTGGAGCAGTGGCGCGCACGAGTTCATGCCAGGTTCATGTGCACGCCACTGCTCCAGCTCAAAATATGCCGTAAAGGAAGTTCCTTTTCTTCTTTGGTGTTTCACTTTTGGATTGCATCCACTCTGTAGCGTCAGCGCCTCCTTCAGTCTGAACCCCACACCTACATTTCCATAAGGGAAGTTTCACTGACGTGAAACACAAATGTATCAATCTGCGTTCCATTACTCCGTGGCTTTCTTTGACACAAAAAAATTGAACTTTGGAATTGAAATTGAATTCTAGAACTGAAAATGAAAGAAGTCCAACTGAATTTTCAACACAGCGAAATTCAATTTCAAAGCAAATTAATTCAGCTTCAGTTCAGGGAAATCCATTTTCAAACCAATGGATTTAATTTCAAATGACACGAATACAGATTCAGTCTGAGCAATTCAAATTCAGTTTCTGATGACACAAGTTTCTTCCCATAAAGGTCTACGATGCAAAAAAAAAAAGCTTTCTTACCGCTAATCTAGATTATTGGACAAATAAAACTTGTAGAGCTTCCAAATGTTGTTTTTATTTGCACACCTTTAACGTTCAAAGTCTGAACGTATCACCAATGCCCTGGTAGCTAGCAGTAACCTACGCCACGATGTGACCAGCACACATACCTGAGCAGAGAGACGTTTCCTTTAATGAGCTTTTTACATCTCCTGTGCTTCATTTAATGTAACTTTAACAACTTGTGAAAATTAATAATTAACTTTTTTATATTTCTATCCATAAAGACCTTTAATAGTGACGATATTTCATAAATTTTAAATGTTGCCGCCAAAGTTTGTGTTGGAGGAAATGTGTAAAAAGTGTCCCAGAAACCAAAAAAGTTTTGCGATGCTCATGAAGCCCCGGCACTGCGTGGACTTTCATGATCAACTATCTACGAGTAAAGAAATGTAGTCCCTGGACAAAAAAAAGTGAACAACTGAGACATTTGACAAGCTACATTTATGACGACCTGCAACGTACACACAAGATTTTGCTGGGAAACGTACAAATACCTGCCACTCTATGTATTTGCTAGATGATGCACACCCTTTTAAGGAAATGCTATTCTTTCAGCAGAATAATACACTTTACATCTTCTTTAACACTATTCATAAGATGTTTGAGGATCATGACAACTTCTGAGTGCAACAAATGCACTGTAAGAACAACCCATAGGGTATGGAGTCTGCAGGTTGATTTTCCACCACATAATAACAACAATACAAAACACATTCATCGTTACTGCTGTTACTTCTTTCACCCAATTTCTGAAATTGTATGGGATAGATCCTATGCCAAAATCTAAACAATCTGGCCATAATATATGACTTAAAATCCAGACTTAAAACAGTAGTTCCAATCTTTTGAAGAGGTGCTCTGTGGAATACTTTAAACAATTCATAACTTCATTGTTATAGTTCTTTGAATGAATTTGGTTAGGAGAAAACAAGATTAAATCTGATGAGCTAAGTGCAAACTTGAGTAGAGTCGAGGCCAAATCAGATTAAAAACGTTTACATTACTGCTAATTTTGCACAACATGGTCATTTACAAAGAAGTTAGTGGGTATTTGAAAGCACAAATAGCAGTGACAGCAGCTAGTTAACCAGTAAACAGAAATACCTGCTCCAGTTGCAGAAATCTGACAGAAACTGACAATCACTCATCTGCAGTGACTGATTTAAAAGGTTGAACAAGGAAATTTGAAGTTAACGGAACATCCTTTGTCCCAAGGCCAGTTTAAGTGTCATTAATATTTTGGTTACTTTATTTTTCTTTCTTTATGAATTGATTGTAACTATTTTCACATTTTTCAACAACCAAAATTTTGTTTTTTAATGTAATGGCTAGGTATTCAAAAACAAACATTTAGCTCTCCCCATTACCCAGTTATGTTGCTCTTATTTTGAAATGTAACCGGAAGTTCTGTGTTAAGAGAGGCGGAAAGAGAAGTTATGGAGACGCCGCTAATGTCGAACTGAGACACCGCTAATGTCGAACCAGTTAACACCATAGACATGATATGCCTGTGGTTAACACAAACAGTTTTTTTCGTTCAGCCTTTTTTTTTTGTCCAATCAGATGTGGCCCTCCAGACACGCCCATTTTTCTATCGTCCAATCAGAGGTGGCCTGCCAGACACGTCCATTTTTCTATCGTCCAATCAGAGGTGGCCTGCCAGACATGCCCATTTTCCTGTAGTCCAATCATATGTGGTCCCCGGATACGCCTTGTCCAATCAGATGTGGCCCCCCCAGACACGCCCATTTTTCTATCGTCCAATCAGATGTGGCCCTCCAGACACACCCATTTTTCCTATTGTCCAATCAAAGGTGGCCCCCCGGCCCGCCCATTTTTCTTTTCATCCAATCAGAGGTGGCCTGCCAGACACGCCCATTTTCCTATAGTCCAATCATATATGGTCCCCGGATACTACAGGTCTCTTTTGAAAATGAGTTCTCGTGGCTCAATGAGACTAACCTGTATAAATAAAGGCTAAATAAAAAAAATACGCCTTGTCCAATCAGATGTGGCCCCCCTGATACGTCTTCCAAATTTGTCTGCAGAGATACGTTTTGGTCAGAATAACCAAGTAATGTCGAAATGACAGAGGTATAAAAGTTCAGCAAACAGTTTTTCAGACTGGAGTTGTTTTAAGACAGCAGGACTCTAACCATTAACATGTAATAAACTTCTAGACTCCATGACGGAACACTGAAGTTGAAGTTGCAGCAGTTACACACAAACTGGATGCTCTCAGTATAAATTATATTTTATTTCCTGGCATTTTATGTAAGAAAATGGGACTTTGTTCTTTTTAAAATAACAAAGTATAAATCTCCCATGTCTCTGGGCATGATGGCGGCACGCTTGGCGTGGATGGTGCACAGGTTGGTGTCCTCAAACAGACCCACCAGGTAGGCTTCTCTGGCCTCCTGAAGAGCTCCGATGGCAGCACTCTGGAAGTGCAGATCCATCTTAAGTGCTATGCTGTCAACATTGTATGTTCCCATTTAACTAAATTGGTTCTCTGCTTTTAACCCATCGCACCTGGGATACACCCAGCTGGAGCAGTGAGCAGCTATGCAAGCACCCGGGGAGCAATTGGGGATTGCTCAGGGACACCACGACATGTGGGAATGGCTGTGAGTCAAATCGCGACTTTCTGGTCCCAAGTCGGCCACCCTGCCTTTACCCTATCTTGGCCCCCATGTTGGTCTTGAAATCCCGATCAATTTCTCTCACCAGGCGCTGGAAAGGAAACTTGCGACTAAGCATCTCTGTGGACCTCTGGTAGCGATGGATCCCCTTGCCAAGGAAGTTTACCATACCATTTTATTTATAGAGCACTTAAAACAGCGACAAGGCCAACCAAAGTGCTGTACAGACAGAACAACAGGCAACACACAAAGCAATATACAAAATTAAGTAAATCAGAATATAGAATATAGTTTAGGTAAAGGTTTATGGATGTTTGTCACTAACTAATGTTAAATTAGAAAGTTGTTTTTCCTCTCAGAGAGGAGCCTGCAGGTGCACCTGATAAACTCGAAGGCCTTCTCAGAGTCGGTAAGCTGTGAAGCTGAGGTTGTCTTGACCTGCTTCTGTCTGATAAACATTATAAAAACACTTCTTGCCTCATTGTCCAGTGTAGATTCCCACTGACGAGGCTCTAAACATGTAACTTTTTACACATCTGTGAAAGCCTTCTCGTACGGTCTACCCTTGCGAGTAAAAGACCGGTTAAACATCTTCTCATGTCCTCAGAGTGGCTCATTAGAGTAAGCAGATGATGAAAGGGTATTTATTTATCCAACACTCCCTCAGAGCCACAGAGTGTGTAGTGATGGGGCTTCTTCACGCCTCCTGTGGACAGGGCACTCTTCCTGGCTGCCTTGGTAGCGAGTTTCTTCCTTGGCGCCTTCCCTCCGGTAGATTTACGGGTCGTCTGCTTGGTACGAGCCGTATCGTTCCTTCTTGAGGAGGTTAATTTATTACTACGCCTTCGTCGTGGTGAACCCAGCACTATGTCTCGCTGCCCAAATGGAATAATGAAAAACGGCTAACTTTGAGGCATTTTCACTAAGTAAACCTTCCAATACAAAGTGTTCCAATGTTATTTCTTAAAAGCCACTTGGCAGTAATGTGCCCCAGACAAGAATTTTTATTTTTTTTAATTACCGACACACCAGCGATGAGTCACTCCTAGAGGAAGTCGATTCACGCTGGCTGATTTTCAATTTTTTTTTTGTTTTGTTTGATCCAGCTTACAGTCACTAGCTGATTAACGGGTACTTCCTTGGTCAACGTTCTAACCTAATAAAAGATACAAGTAATGATTGTGGCTTTGCGTCGTCCTAAATGAAGCAGATTAGCAAAAGAGCTCACAGTTTCCACGATGACAAGCGAGACACCTCCTCTTCCTCCTCCATCTTGTTTTTCCCTGACTCTGCATTTCCTGACCAGCGATTGCCCACGGTCCCTGTGTCAGGGTGTAGTGTGGGAGCAAGATAAGCAGATATTAGCCGGCCTCGTCATCAGCAGAATGGACCCTGGGGAGTGTGTGTGTGCGAGGCTTGGCTGGGCATCAGTAGGCAATGAAGGGCAGAAACTGGCGAGGACATCCAAGGGCCAACGCCAAGTAAGGTCAGAGAGGAAAATAGATTACATGTCACACTGGTTGGTGCCGTAATCCAGTTTAAAAATAGATCTTCAAACACAGAGTTGGACTAGAGAAATTGCATTTCCTGTGAAAATTCAGTGAATGCTTATTGCTGAAGAACTTGCTGACAAACAGCTGAAATTAGCTATGAAAAAAAACATGCTGAAATGGAAGAACAAGCCTAAATTAGCAGAAGCAGAGAGAACGTATTTTCTGAATTAGTGTTAAATAAGCAGAAATGGGCACAACAATTAGGAAATCAGCTAAAAAGGTTAAAATTAGCACAAAAATAAAACCCTCTAAAAGTAGCCAAAAAGGCATAAAGAAGCTTAACCTACTAGAAGGAAATGGAAAAAGATAAAATCAGCTTAAAAATGTTGAATTTGCTGAAAAAGCTAAAATTTGCATTAAACCAGCTAAATAGTAGCTGAAATAGCAGAAAAAGCTGAAACTAGCTGAAACAAGCTGAAAAAGAGCATGACAAGCTGAAATTAGCAGAAAGAAGTTAATTAGGCTGCAAATGGCAGAAATTACCACGGAAAATTGGAATTTATATGAAAATGGCTG